CCTCCCCAGTCCCTTTCCCTTTGGTAACTGTTAGTTCATTCTTGGGTTCTGTGATTCTGCTGCTGTTTTGTTCCTTCAGTTTTTTCTTTGTTCTTATACTCTACAAATGAGGGAAATCATTTGGTACTTGTCTTTCTCCGCCTGGCTTATTTCACTGAGCATAATATCCTCTAGCTCCATCCATGTTGTTGCAAATGGTAGGATTTGTTTTCTTCTTATGGCTGAGTAATACTCCATTGTGTATATGTGCCACATCTTCTTTATCCATTCATCTACTGATGGTGCTCACTTCATTCTTACAGCAGCTCTTTTAGAGAGGAGGAAGCTGAGCCTTAGGGACATGGAATAATAAGGTCCCAAGGCTAACAAATAGAACAAGAATTCGAATTTGGGTCTGTCTGACAGGCTACAAAGCCATGCTCCCAACCAGTTAGCTCCCTGGGGGTCACGCTCTTGCCTACCACTTACTGGCTGGCTTGATTCTCTGGGCCTCAGTCTTACCTTCTGTAAATTGGGGATAATCCTGCCTTCAAGAGGACTCCCGGATGAGAAGTGGGTTGGGGGCCACAGGGAGCAACCACTCTTTGGTGGGGTCCTTCCTAGGTGCTAGGAACCAAGAGGGCACTGCCCAGTGACATCTCAGTCACTTCTCAGAGCAGCCCTGACGAGTGTGGCTCATCAGTGCCATACCACTAATGGGGCAGGAATCAGGGCTTAGAAGGGGCATGGGACTTGTTTGCCTGTGGCTGCCACAGGGGAAGGTACGGTGGGCCAGGCCTCAAACTCCAACTCGGGTTTCATCCTTTTAAAATGTGCCGAGACGTGCACTGTTGGGGGTCCGGAAGGACCACACCAGACAGCCACAGGCCCTCTTGGAGGTGGCGTGCTAGAGAGAAGGCTGTCGCTGCTTTGTCAGTACTTCTCAACTATTTGAGGTTTTATTCTAGGCACCTCTTCACGAGCAAGTTTTCAAATTCAGAAAGATAGCATCCCTAGAAGTTGGAGAGTCAGACAGGCACCTCAGGCAGTGAACATGCAACCCGAAATGGACCCTCGCATCGCCTACAAGGGCCTTGACCCCCAAACGTACTGCATCTCATCAGCTGCTGCTGTACTGACCAGGGGTCAGGAGATGTAGATGGCAGAGGAGCAGTTTGCCATATCCTGAGTGTGGGGCTTGACATGAGGGGCACGGAAGAATGAGGGTGGAGGGTGCAGCTAGAGGTGAAAGACCTTCAGGGCCTTATCAGCCCAGTGTGGGGCATGGGTGTCCTTGGATTCTGATTCAGACAAACCATAAAAATACAATGTAGCATTGAACTTAGAGTAGTCAAAATCACAGAGACAAGAGAGCAGAATGGTGAATGCCAGGAACTGGGGGCGGGGGAACGGGGTGTCCTTGATTAATGGGGACAGAGGTTGAGTTCTGCAAGATGAAGAGTTCTGGAGGTAGGTGGTGGTGATGCTTATACAACAGTGGGAATGTAATTAGTATCACTAAGCTGTATGCTTAAAAATGGTTAAGATGATAAATTTTATGTGTATTTCACTAGATAGAAAAAAAGGGGGGAAACCACCATTGAGATGTCAAGTCTGAATCCAGACTTTGAATATAGTCTAGGTATTCAGTGATATTAAAGAGTTACACTATTAATGCTAGAGTATTTCCAATGAAATCAGATGGGATTGACTTTGAAATATTTTAGCAAAAGAAAAAAAAGGTGGGAAAGAGGCTCAATGAATAAGTTAGAGAAATGCTAACGGGTGGAGGTTGGGTGATGGACACATGGTGGTCTGTTACACATATCTCTCTACTTCTGAGTATATGTGAACATTTCCATAATAAAAGTTAAAAATCTTGAACAAACATTGAAAGAAAAAGAGCAAAAGCCAAAGTACATGGATATCAGGATCAGGCCGACCTGGATTTAAGTGCTGCCTGTGTGACCTTGAGAGGACATCGTGCCCCCTCTCCAAGACTCCATGCCCTTGCCTACAAAATACGGGGGCGCCCAGTCTTTTACATGTCAAGGTTCTCGTGACACGATTGTTGCCCGACACCTGGTGTGTCGAGGGCAGGTGGCACTGAGTCTCTGGGCTCCTACCTGATCCCAGCCCTGGAGTCACGGACAGTGTGTTCCATTTCAGGAATTGTGACCCTCAAGGGCATAGGCATGGACTTCACCTTGGAGAACTGGGAGCAGCTGGGGCCGGACCAGGGGGACCTGTTCTGGGACACAGCGCTGGACAACTACCAGAGCCTCTTCCTGCTGAGTGAGTGTCCACCCGTGCGGGCCCAGCCCCTGCCCTGCCTGCTCATCGCCTGTGGCTCCCTGTCCCCCCTCAGTATAAACTCTGGCTCCTGAGCGCCTCAGAACCAGCATGATCTAGCCCAGCAGTGATCTAGCCCGGGGGACACTGGGGACACCTAGCAACCTTTTTGATTGTCACCCCTAAGGGGAGGTGGTGTATTCCTGGCACCCTGTGGATAGAACACATCTTCAAAGCAGGGACAGCCCCATGATCGAGGATTATCGGACCCCAAACGGCAGTAGTGCCGAGGGTGAGAAGCCCTGATCTGGCTCCTGCCTGCTGCTGTGACTCATCTGCACCTTCCTGTCAGTCGTCATGAGTGACTCCTCCAGCGGACACTTAGGGTCTTCACACTTGCTCTCCCCTCTGCCTAGATGACGTTCATCCCTGCCCTTAGGATTCACTCTGTGACCCCATTAGCGCCCCTGTCTCCTGCTCAGCTTGCCCACCACCCCTGCGCTTTCCCACTGCTCATGTGCGATCCGTCTCCCTCTCCTACGACGGGAGCTTCCTCAGGGCCGGGACTTTTCCCCTGGGCTGTTCACTGATGTATCCCCAGAGCTGGGAACAACCGGCACCTGCCAGGGGACTCGTTGAATGTGTGCTCAATCAACGAATGACGGAGCAGCAATAGGTGCTGGATCAGGAGCTGGGTCTTGTGCTGGGTGAGCACGTAGAACCCTCTCCTTCATTCCTGCAGTCACCTCGCCAGGAAGTCTGACTCCCCGTTTTGTTGATCCTTCTGAAATTGAGCTTCAAAGATAAGTCATCTTCCCCGTGATGTTGGGGTTCCCAGGAGCACCCCCATGTTCGGTGATCTACTAGGAAGACCCACAGGCCTCAGCATATGGCCGTACACCTGGCCCTGGCTTATTAGAGAGCGCACGGCACAGTCAGCCCCAGGGAACGGCGCAGGAGGCCTCTGGAATCGTGAGGGATGCGCGGTGAGGTGTGACAAAGTGGGGAACGCTGTCTACTGGTGATGCTTGTTAGAAACTCTGCATCCAGGGTTTTACTGGGGGCTGGTTATGTAGGTACCTGCTGCCAGACCTGCACCAAAACTTCAGACTCTCAGCAGGAGAGCAGCGTTCAGCGGAACAGTCACAGCACAGGGGCCCCTTGGTGGTTAGGGAAGGCTGAGCCCTCCTGACGTCCAGCTTCCCACACACCAGCCATGGGCGGCCGCGCCAGCGGCCTTGCCGAGGAGAGCTGTCAGCCTGCTGTGTTAACCCCTCACGGGCGGTGAACGCCAGCATGGCACAGTGAGCGAGCGTCAGGACCCTGTCACCCCAGCACCACATCATCATCTCCTCCAGATCAACTCTTTTCCCCTTCCTTGGTTCTTTCTCTCCCAAGAGCAGAAGGGTCACTTATTTCCAAAGATCAAAGAAAAAGAGACCACATGCTGGCAACTTCTGTTTGATGGAATTTCATAGCATAGGGGCAGAATTTTCTCCAAAGGCTATTCAGCGTTCCTATAGAAGCAGCTTGGGGGAGGTCAAATCTCAGTGTCTTTTCAAATTTTAAACTACAGTCCACAAGGGAAATACATTTCCTTTGACTCCCCTGCACACACTTGTGTGTCTAGACAAGTAGCGTATTAGCTTCCTATGGCTGCTGTAAGAAATGACCCCAAACTCAGTGGCTTAAAACAACATATTTACTCTCCTATGGTTCTGGGGGTCAAGTTTGAAAAGGGTGTGACTGAACTAAAGCCGGGGTGTGTCATGGCTGGTTCCTTCTGGAGGCTCCAGGGGAGAATATTTACATGCCTTTTTTCAGCTTCTAGAAGTACCCGCATTGCTTGGCTCATGCTCTCACCTTCAGAGCCAGCTATGGCCATTTCTCCACTGAAATGTGTCTCCTGGGATTATGACTTTGTGCTCCCTTTGTGGAAAGCAAAGTATAGGACTGATTGGGCTCTAGGACCCCAACATACTCTATCATAGGGTCTGGCCTGCAAGGGCTGGGGTGATGCCTGGTCTCTGGGTGAACGAGTAAGTCATGGATGGCTGAGTATGTGGCAAACTCCGCTCATCCCTGCTCGGATCACCCTGGATTGTGACGCCTGGTCCTTCTCCTCCACTAGACTGGGAATCCTGCAGGGCACGAGTCCCTGGAGTCGCCCGTGCAGTATCTGGCCCCTAGGGAGCTGTGCACTGGATAAAATACTGAATATTCAGGAGAGCCAGAAGGTTCCCTCTAAGCGGCTGGAAGGCCCTTCGTGTTTTGTTGGATGACAGTGCTGTCCTTTCCCTGCAGACCCCTGCAGACCCAACCTGACTGTCTGTCCAGATGAAGGCGAGCTGGAGGCCTTGGTGAGAGGAAGCCCGGAATCAGCGGTTCCTGGTGAGTGGGCGGGTAGGGGGCAGCGGAGTGTGACCCTTTGCGTGTCCCCTGGCCTCAGAAGCTGCATCCAGACCCAGTGTGTCTGCCCAGGCACCCTAACCCTAGGCTTTTGGGCGTCACCGTGCCTCTTGCTGGTTTCTGTCCTCTCTGCTGGGGGTCGGGACCCTCACTCTGCGTGCCCATCTGGCCTCTACCTCGTCATTCAGACATGGCTTCCCTGTGCCTTTCCGTCCCCTTTCTCCCCATCCTTCCAGACCTAGCAGGGGGTGGTTTTCACTGCCTGAGTCAGTCTCCCCACTGTCCTACTCATGCCCCCTTAGCACCATGGACCCTCCTGGTATTTTTGTCCAGGTCTGTCACATGGGGCACAGCTGATGGCCACATCTGTTAGTAACTCAAGCCCAGGCCTAAATGCTGCCAAGAGCATTTCTGTTTTCCCCCAGGCCTGGTTCTTCCAAGGGGATCAGGTTAGGCAGTGAGGATTCCTGGGGTGTTATGTTAGTTAAAATGTCTCCAGTGGAAGAAAGCTGAGGCAGGGGCCTGGCTAGGGGATGGCAAGCTGTTCTTGTCATTAGATCATTCACATGAGAAGAGACATCCCTGAACCAGAGACCACCATGGTGGCGGCGCAGCCTAGTCTCAGCCTCCACCCTGCCCAGTCAGTATGCAGCTCTGTCATTGGCTCACATCTCATGAGCTTGTGATTGTGGACTCTTCACATAGGTGACTAACCTAGGCACAGACTTCCCACAACCTTAGATTTTGGTTTCTGCTCTGTTTCCAAGCACCTGTAGCCATACCTTTACTAACAACCAAATATACCCTCTGGTGGTAACAACTGTATTGTGTTACTGTTTCTATCTCTTTCCCCCTTGAACAGTAAACTTCTCTGGGAAGTGGGCCTTAGCTGATAAGGGTGATGGAGGGTGGGCAGAGAGCCTCCACTGAGAGGCTCCCCTTCCCTGTGGAATCCATGTGATCGCCCAGCTCCTGTCTTAACCCTCCTGGAAATAGGCTCTGTTTCTTGTGAGGCCAGTTCCAGGGAGATCACCAGTTGAGACCCATTTTCTTCATCCTCTTGATGGACAGGCTTGACTCAGGACCCAGCACCTGTTCTCCATCCTGTCTGTGTTCTTGCCCTGCAGCTCCTGTCTTTTCACCCTGGGGAACAGGAGACATTTACATTTTCCCTCCTTTCAGACATGGCTGAGGCCAAGAACTCTCCTCTGCCACAGGACTTCTTGGAAGAAGGGCTCTCCCAGGAGCTTTTGGAGACACTTTCCAAGGATGGCCAAGGATTGCCTATGGGAGAAGCTTGCATAGGCAAAAGTTGGTTAGATAGTTTGCTAGAAGATCCAGAAAGTCTTCTGAGGTCTAACATTGTTACCAAAAAGGAAAGTCCCACAGAATACAAGAGTCATGAACTCAACAGTGGTCTCAGTCCTGAGTCCTTCGTTTTCACAGGCGATTCTGTGATGAATGATCTTCCTGAAAAGAGCCTGATACCAGCTAAATCTCAGGAATATGGGATGACTACTACTACTACTACTACTGCTACTACTACTGCTACTACTACTACTACTACTAGTGGCTACTACTTAGACCAGAGCCAGCAGGATAATGTCCAGGGAAGGGAGAAACCATATAAATGTAGTGAATGTGGGGAGAGCTTTAGCCAGAGTTACCATCTTGTCCAGCACTGGATTATTCATATTAAGGAAAAACCTACTGTGCAAGAATATGAGAAAGGTTTCAAGCAGAGTTCTTGCCTTGTGCACCTGATGGGTCACAAGGGCTACAAATCCTATGTGTGTAACAAGCATGGGAAAAACTTTAATCAAAATACACAACTTCTGCAGCATCAGAAAATTCATACTAGAGAAAAACCATGTGAGAGTCAAAACAGTGACCATCCATCAAGTCATGGCTCACAGCCTGTTGAGTGTCAAAAAACCCCTACAGGTGGTAAATCCTACGAATGTAATGAGTGTGGCAAAAGTTTCAGCCAAATCTTTCGTCTTACTCAACATCAAAAGACCCATACCCGGAAACACTACGAATGTGCCAAATGCAAGGCAACCTTCAATTTCAAAAAATACCTCCTTCGACATCAGAAAATGCATGCTGCAAAAACTACCTGTCAGTGTCAGGAATGTGGGAAGGCTTTCAGGCGGAGATCACTGCTCATTGAACATCAGTCTGTTCACACTGGAGAAAACCCTTTTAAGTGTGATGACTGTGGGAGATCCTTCAAACATATCTCTACCCTAAAGATCCACCAGAGGGTTCACAGTGGAGAGAAGTCTTACAAATGCAGTGAATGTGGGAAAGCCTTCTATCAGAAGACTTACTTTAATGAACATCAGAAACTTCACCAGGGCCACAGGCCCCACAAATGTCAAAAATGCATCAAGAGCTTCAGTCGGCTCTCCCACCTGATCCAACACCAATCCACTCATTCCACAGAGAAGCCCTACAGCTGTGCTGAGTGCAAGGAGACCTTCAGTCATAATGAACACCTTGTTCAACACCAGAAAATCCATACTGTGGAAACTCCCTACCAATGTCAGGAGTGTGGTGAGCGCTTCACTTGCAGTTCTACCCTAACTTGCCACCAGAGTGTTCACACAAGATATAAACAATGGTTTGATGAGAAAGGAAAGATCCTCAATCAGAACCCAAAACACAGTGGGCATCTAAGGACTAGTGAAAAGTACTTTAAGTGTGAGAAATGTGAGAAAACATTTAGCCGCAGCAAATACCTGACCCAGCATCAGAGGATTCACACCAGGGCGAAGCCCTTTGAGTGTAACCGGTGTGGGAAGGCCTTTGGCCAAAGTACACAGCTTGTTTGCCACCAGATGATCCACTCTGGAGTGAAGCCATATGAATGTGGGGACTGTGGGAAGGGCTTCATCCACAGCACTGCCCTCACCAAACATCAGTCTATCCACAAGAGCAAGCAATCCTTTAAATCTAATGAATGTGGACAGATCTTCAGCCAAAGCGCATGTCTCTCAGAACACAAGTTAATTCACACTACAGAGAAGCTTTTTAAGTGTAACAAGTGTGACAAAGGCTTTGCCCATGATCACTACCTCATTCAGCATCAGAGAACTCATGCTGGAGAGAAGTCCTTTGAATGTGAAAAAGTATTCCATCAGAAGTCATGTCTTCCTAAGGATCAGAGAGATCACACAGGTGAGAAACTCTATGAATGTGGTGACTGTGGGAAAACCTTCAGACTGCATGCTCAACTCATTCAACACCAGAGAGTTCACACCGGAGAAAAGCCTTATGTTTGTCAGGATTGTGGGAAGGCCTTCAGTCAGAATGTGTGCCTTTCTGTTCATCAGAGAGTTCACACTGGGGAGAAGCCTTATATCTGTGAGGAATGCGGGAAAGCCTTCAGTCACTACTCATGCCTTTCTGTTCACCGGAGAGTTCACACTGGAGAAAAGCCTTATGTCTGTCAGGTTTGTGGGAAAGCCTTCAGCCAGAGCTCGTGCCTTTCTGTTCACCAGAGAGTTCACACTGGGGAGAAGCCCTATATGTGTGTTGTATGTGGAAAAGCCTTTACCCAGAAAGCAAATCTGACACAGCATGAGAGAATTCACACTGGAGAGAAGCCTTATGCCTGCAATGTGTGTGGGAAAGCCTTTGGCCTCAGTGCCCATCTCAGTCAGCACCGGCAAATTCACACCCAACAGAAAGTGTATCAGTGTCAACATTGTCAAAAAGCCTTTAGCTACCACTCAAGTCTTACACGACATCAGCAAGTTCACACTAAAAAATAACAAGTAGCAATACTACAGATGATCCCTGGTTGGCAGCAGGGTCCCAGACTGAAGGTCTGAGAATATGTTCATCCAAGCCATAATGTTGAAATCATCACATTTTAAGTTCTCTCTCCAAAAATAAATAAATCTCTTTATTGATAAAAGGATTTATTAGAAAATTTGCAGACAAGTTTCATTAAAACAGTGAGAACACAAAAGTTGAGAAGTGTACTGTCATAATACACTCATAGATTCTGCAGCCAGTCTGCTGAGTTAAATCCCAACTCTGCCATCTGCTACCTAAGTGACCTACAGAGAGTCCTGGAGCATATCAGTATCCCCATCTCAAAAATGGGCACAATAATAGCTACCTACCTCAGAGGGCTATTGTGAATATAAACAAACATGTAAAGTACTTAGAACTGAGTGTCCAGCACTACTGTAAGTAGTTACCAAGTATGAGCTACAAATATTCACCAGATAAAACATAAAGATTCTCTTATGTGCATAAGTCTTTTTGAATCTGAAATCTTGTTTTCTTTGGGTAAATTCCTACGAGTGGAATTCCTGGGTCAAATGGTATTTCTATTTTGAGTTTTTTGAGGAACCTCCATACTGCTTTCCACAATGGTTGAACTAATTTACATTCTCACCAGCAGTGTAGGAGGGGTCCCCTTTCTCTGCATCCTCGCCAGCATTTGTTCCTAGTCTTTTCTATGTTGGCCATCCTAACTGGTGTGAGGTGATATGTCATTGTGGTTTTAATTTGCCAGTGGACTATTATATCTGTCAGGAGGAACTAGATTCTGCTGTGGCAACACAGTTAAGCATCAATCTCTGGCTGAACAAAGGCTTATTTCTCTCTCCTACGTGTCCACTGTGGGTTGGCAGCTGGTATAGGGATGGGGTGGGCTGGATCTGCTCTATCCACTCAAGGGACCAGTGTTCCCTTTTTAAATCTGTTGGTCCTTCTGGTCACCTCAATAAGAAAGTGACTTTAACACCTTACATTTCCCCATCTTCTCTTTGAGGCAGAGCAGGACTCAAGCTCGGCAATTTGGCTGGACAATGCTCTCCACCGAAATGTGCAAACAGCAGTTTTCTGTTGCATTTATGCTTACAGCAAACTTCCATTTATGGCAAGTTAATACTGGTTGTCCATTTACAGTCGTGGTTGAAATTTTTAAAGGGCGTTAATTGAAATAAGTAGATTAGGAGACTCTAGGTGCAGGCCATTGGCATCACTGTAGGGGAGAAGGGGCTGCTCTGAGAAATCAAAGAGGTGGCATGTGCATGCCCAACATGGAGAAGATACTCTTCTAAGAAAATTGTACCTAGGAACCCACTGGATAAAACAGATAAAAGTGGATGCACTTTGGCCAAAGAGGATTGAGGGACCGCCCCTGCTCCAGTGCCCCAGACCCAGGGCTGTAGAGAACAGCTTGTAAACTTCTGGTCTGGAGGAGCTTTCTGAAGCTGTTTTGATGAAACACACATGAATCCTTTTGATAGTATCCCAGACTGGGTAATGTGCTGAGAAGGGGATGTTAGTAACCAGGATAGAGATCTTGTGGTGTTCTTTGCCAGAGGGACTCCCTGGGAGGTTAGGAAATGTACAGCATTCCTGAAGGAAGTCTTCCCAACCTTATGCCACCATGACCCAAATGACCAATGTCCCATGCGCTTCTTGTGCACTGGAATACAAGATAAAATTCTGGCCAATAGGCTGAGTCCTTCAAATAAAGGCATGGACCAGGGAGAGGCGGGCAACACTAGGATTTTGCAGCTGCCAGGTAGAAGGAGCTTGGGCCTCTGACAGATGTGTGGGTCAGAGGAGAGGGGAATAAACTTCTATCTTTTCTATTAGGTCTCAGGGCAGCTGAATTTGAATCCTACTGATGTAGTAGCTTTGTAAAGTAAAAAAAAACTCCAGCTACTTTAAGATTGGTATCTATCTTTTGGGAGACTGATTTCCTGATTGCCACATTATAAGAAGAAAATAGGGGCCAGGCGAGATGGCTTACCCCTGCTTAGGCCACAAAATGCCCCTAAAATACCGGGTTTTTTCTGAGGAGCACAGCACTCTTCTGGGAAACATAGTACCATTTATTAACTTTCCCCATAACAGGATATTAGATAATCCCCAAGTTTTCTCTTATAAACAAAAGTAGAATAAAATGTCTGTATTTATGAAGACTTCCCAGAAACAGAAATACTAGGTGTGAAACAAAACCATTCTTTTAATCATCAAATTTGCTTGCTGGAGAATATTCAAACAGTATAAATAATACAATAACGGTATCTAATATTTACTGACGACTTACTATGTGCCAGGGGCTTTCCACAAATTAGCCTCAGAGCTGCAGTATGAGACAGGTGCCGCTGTCATTTCCATTTTATAGATGCGGAAGCCGAGGGTCACTGAGGTTAAGGAAACTTGCCTCTGTTGCCCTGTTTTTCAGTGTGGAAGTGCTAGAGCCACGACTTGAACCTGAGGAGTCGGGCACCGGCCCCCTAGCCACTATGCTAACGGGGAAGACTCTGTTCTGTACCTTCCCAACCAGCTGGTGAGACGGCAGCGCCATCACCGCGGTGAGTCTCAGCTGCCTCACACGTAACACAGACGTAACAAAACAGGGACGCCACTGGGAGACTGAGGATTAAATACACGTGGAATGTTTAGAGCTAGGATGCACAAAGGTTAACTTTCAGTATAATTAATAATTTTTGTAATTATTAGAGTTAAAAGCCCCTGTGTTTCAGCATTACCTATGGCTCATACTAAGCGCTCAACACGTTACAGATTTTAATACTTTGTAAGACTGTCGTTTATAAACTTGGAACCCTAACTCTTAACCTCGACTTTAGTACACTTCGCAATTAAAAAGTGATTGGAAAGTGTATTACTCATCAAACAATAACAACCATGATTTATTACTGGCCATTTACTAATTACCTTGGGAAGTGAGCTGGTCCCACATCATTCAGTTCAGCCAGAGTCCCTAATCCAAGAGCAAGAGAAGATCAGTGGACAACCCAGGACGAACCCCCACGCCTCCCTGAGCCTCAGTTTCTCCACTGGACTCAAGGACACCGGGTATGGGGCTTCTCAGAACAAACCGCGCGTTGCACCCACTCGGCTCTCATCGGCTCCGTCCCGACACCGACTCCAGCCAATCCCCGCGCCAGCCCTGCTCAAAGCCGCCGCTCCGAACCCCGCCCCGCCGCGTCCAGCAGCGCCGGTGCTGCCCCCGACTGACTCCAGCTTCTCGCGCCTCCTTCACCTTAGCTGGCCTAAGCCCTCGAAACCCATCCGGGCCGCTCTCCTAAGCAACGACGGGGAGGACACGATGGGCGCCCTCAAGTACCCGGCAAACCGAATCCTGGCCGTCCCGGGCGCACTTCGCGGCCCACCGGCGATCCCCACGAGGGCGGTGCCGCTGCGCGCGCAACTCTCGTCCCAGGCCCGCCTTTGCGCTTGCGCAGTCTCCTTGTTGAGTTACTCCGCCCAGAGCCCGGTGGGATTCTGGCTTTTCAGGCCGACTGTCCTCTGACTGCAAAATTGGAAGAAACCCTGGAGTCCCGGGCGGCTTTCGCTCGGGGTACACCAATGTCAAAGCCTTCTTTTGGCTTTCAAAGGCAGTGTGGTTTCCTCTCGACCAGTCACAGGTTAGCTTCTCAACACTAACCCTAGCCTCCGTCTCCAGGGCAACTATCAACTCTGGAAACAGCGGGTGTGTCTCCATGGCAACTCTAATCCCTACAGCTCGGCAAGGGCACTTCATTACAGGCGCTTTTAAGTAATAGCGATGCTCAACGAAATTGCGTGCTCTGCTCGTACAACTTAATGGAAAACGTGTTTGGCGCTCAAAGAAGGGAAGAAAACTGGATAGGGCGGTTCTGAAAGAATTGATGTTAAAAAGGTTTCTCAGAGGAGGGGTTTCTTTGAATAAGGCTTTGAGCGATGAGTAGGAGGTAGCCAGGAAGACACGCAAAGGAAAAATGCTATCGTATCTGTCTGGACACAATTTAAACCTATGACATGTAGCCTTAGCGAGTGTGGGGAAACTACCATCCTCCTACCGTGAAGGTGGAGACGGGTTCTGCATTGTAAGTAAATCAATCAGTTGGTGACTGCTGAGAACAACTATGTTCCAGGCAGTGTTCTAGGTGTTGGGGATATAATGGTGAAGTACACACATGGACCCTGCCTTCCGGAAGTCAGAAAGCAGGCAGTAAATAGGAGACACATAATAAGAAATCATGCTAAGCGCTGTGAAGTAAACAGGCAAAGGGCTGAGGCAGGGATGAAAGGGTGACTGTGGGATCAGGAAATATAGTTAGGTGCGTTATGTGAGCATGTAAATGTGAAATGAAAACAATATAAATCCCAAGTGAATTGTAGAGAAATATTAATGGACACAGCAGCTGGAGTGCGCCCTACTGTAGGCTGCTGCTTCCTAAGTGTCTGTGGACATTTGAGTTGGGGTTTTCTTTTACTTGTCCTTGAAGGCACCCTGAAGTACTAAGATCAACAGGTGAACGCCTTGCTTTTGGTCGTTTTGGCTACTTGAGCTAGTACATTATCGTCCTTGTTTGAGCTATTTTGAGTTAAGTTTTTTGTTACTTGAAACTCAAAACATCCTTTGTAATACAGTCTCACATTAAAAAGATAAGGAAGTTGGATCAGCAAGCTAGACAATGGCAAAAGCAGGATTCAAAATTAGTTTATTTTATACTAAAAACCCACTTAATCCACATTAGTATGTTAGTAAAGGGAGGTGGTGAGTCTTCCAGAAGGAAATGGACCAGATGCACTAAGAAAGGTCCACTTAGGATGAAGGATTTAAGGGTGCTACACTGCTGGCTTTGAAAATGGAGGGAAGGGGCACAAGCCAAAGACTGCAGGCAACTCCCAGATACTGAAAATTCATGCCCTAAGTCTGAAAAAATGCAAATGGAATAAAATTTTAATTGTTAAAAATCATGAAAATATTAGACTAAAGTATAGGAGAACATTTTTGATAATTGGGCATAAGAAAGGCCTTTCTTAGCATGATAGTAGGTCTAAGAACTATAAAATACAAATAGGTTTGAATACGTAAAAATTTTTAAATTCTGTATAGCAAAGTACATCATGAACAAAATTAAAAGAGAAATAACAAACTGGGAGAAAATATTAGTGATGTATATACCAAAGGGTTAATATTTGTAATATTTGAAGACTTGGTTCTATAAGTCAGTACAAAAGACACCCCAATTAAAAATGGGTAAAATACATAAATAAGCAATACAAAGAAGATGAAATATCAACAAACACAAAAAGATCATTCATCTCACTGTTGAAAGGACATTTTTACTTATTAGATTAGAAATGCTAACAAGAGACTGAGTATTTGGGAAGGAATTGGAGGAACAGAAAAAATAGGCATTCATATTCCAGGACTTGTGTAAATTGGTTCATCCTTTTTTAGAGAATTATTTAGCAATATTTTAAATTTAAAACAACTTGAGATCAAAATTTTAAACATGGACATTCTATGATCCCACAGATTTACTTTTAGGAATTCACCTTATGGAGATACTTTGCCCAAGTGTCAAATTATTAATGTCCAGTGGTGGAAAAGAAAAACTAAAACAACCTAAATGTCTATTAATAGAAATCAGTTAAATAAACAAACCCTAGCATGAAACATGCAGCTGTTAAAAATGAGGACACATATATATACTATATATATTTTTTGCATTGTCTTAAGAAAATATCCACATTGTACCAAATGAAAAAGTCACTTCTAAAATCATATGTGTGTGTGTGCATGTGTGATTACACCAAATTGCATACCATATTTATGTGAATAAATATGTATATAACCATTTCATAAAACAAAAAGAGAGGTTCATATTCAAAGATAAAAATCCAGAATCTTTGGAATGAAGATTTACAGAGAGCTATAGCTTTCTTCATTTTTGTGTTATCTGAATTATTCACAATAAACACCCAGTTTTTCAACTATGAAAGAAGTCACAGAAGATCAGAAGAAACATCTGATGTCAGGGAGATGCAGCCCCATTCACTGCCGGACATCCAGAACTTCTGGGAAGCCATGGTCACGTGTATGGGATCATTGAAACATTTCAGTGTTTGACCCCATGACTTCCTTGCCAGGATTTCACTTGGGAACTGTCAGGTGCTCATCCAAAGACTTCAGTAGAAGGGAGGTTTATAAAAGTAAAAAACTGGGAACAACCAAAATGTCCAACAGGGGACTGACTAACATGTTGGTTGAATAAACAGTGCGAAACCCCAAAACATCTGGTTCTTAAATATTAAATAAATGACATGGTTATTTAATGACATGGGTGTCACGATATGGATAAATCATGATATTTAATGATTGGGGCCATGATGTAAAGTTAAGTGAATAGAGAAGCATGATAAACTCTATATCCATTATGCCCCAGATTTATTAAAGGATATATAATAATATATATTGTTATAAAAGCAGCAGAAGTGCATTGAAATGTTAGCAGTTATCTCTGGATGGCACTGGGATTTGGGTGAAATCTTCCAGATTTCTTGGATCTAAATTTTCTAGAAAGAAACATGTATTGGTTTTTATGATAAAATAATAAACATTATTTTAAGAAGGAAAAGTTATACGTGGAATGTGTTCAAACCCAATAGAAGTTGAGAGCACGGCTTCTGGAGCCTGATCACTTGGACTTGAATCCAGACTCCATGAGCTGTGAGGCTTTGCCTCTTCATCTTTCTGTGCCTCAGTGACCTCATCCATGAAATGGGACAACACAGCCCTGAACATGTGGGGTTGTTGGCAGAATGGAAAGAGTTCATATATACCAAGGGCTTAGAACAGAACGGCACACAGTAAGTTACTGAAAGCACTATCCATTTTATATGTTTGATATGGGGGAAAAAATTACATGATTGACATTAAAAGCTGGTAAAAAGTGTAGAACTGTGATGCCCAGCTTGTCCCAGTTAAGTTAGGTTAAGTCCCTTTGAAAAGCAGTTTGATAATATGGTTAGAGAAATAATTCCCCAAAAAGGAGAGAAGAAGTAGGAATAGGGATGCTCATTATGGCATTATTTGTAATAGGGAAAAATCAGTGAACAATCTGTGTTAGTCAGGGACTCAGAACAAAGCCTAAATGGGTTTGTAAATTATGGTACTCTCACCAATGAAATATCATTAGCCCTAATAATGATGAGTATGAAATTTATGTGGCAACAAAGGACAATACGCAAGGTATAATGAACACAAAACAGAGAAGACAAAATTGTAATGTGATCACAATTTTAAAAAATAACATTTATTTAAAAATGACATATGGCTTCATTTACCGTGGCAAGCATTTTAGTAATATTATCAAGTCACCATGTTGTACATCTGAAGCCAGTATAATATTGTATATCAACTTCATTCCAATTTTAAAAAAAGGATTCAGGCATTTGAATGAAAGGACACATATTTCATTTATAGTTGAAGTGTGTTTCTTTGGTGATAAGATGCTATCCAATGCAACCTCCCCCCATTTTAAGCACTGAAAGATTTTTACCAGATAAAATAAATATCCCAGGAGAGTGTGTGGTAATTTAACTTTAAATCAGAATAGATTCTCTGACATATTATTATATAAAAATGAATGGAAATAATGTGTAAGGAAATTAGTTTGGCCAGTTCTGTGAAATAATAAAATGTTAATAAATAAAAATGATATTTGGAAGGAAATATGAAAAAAATCAAAACACTGTGACTTTTGAGAGTGGCCAAGTTGTAGATAAGCACATGGCTTTTGTTTTTTTATCCAAATTTTCCAACACTTAAAAACATGGTTATGGAACATGGGAGAAAACAAAGCCAGAAAGAAATTCACCCAAAACTGACTAGTGGGTTTCTCTGGGCTGTGGGATTATGGGGAATTGGTATTTTAGTTCATACTCCTCTATATTTTCCAAATTATCCTTTACAGTGAGTATATGTAATTTTAATTAAAATTTTTTCTTGTTATAAAATATGTATATTATTTTTATAAATAAAAAAATAGATACTATGTTTCAAAAAATGAGGAAAGAAAAACCTGCCTTTGGGCATGAATAAAATCAGAAAGTGATGCTTAATAGGGCAATTGCTTTGTAAAGCATAAATCCTGGATGTGAAAAAGACAGAAACAAGATGTAAAAAATGGGCGTAAATATGTGAAACACATTCAGTGTTTATGCCAGCTGCAGATGTTGCGGTGAAATTTGTAACTTAAAATTTTAAAGGAAATTCACTTCATCTAGCATTATGTTCAGCTACATATGTTTGAGACTATTATTTTAAGGGGTTAATCTTTCCAGCTGTGTTTTTTCCTTGAATTTCCAGGCTCCAATTTAATGAATGATCAATACATTAAAAAAGCTCAGAGATGGCTTATTAAAGATCCGAAGGAAGTTGCACCCCATTTAGGCTGTCCCCTGGGGGATACCGTAAGGTTGAAGAAATGGGGGCTGGGAAGCTGAGATTTTATGGGGAAGCTTCTAAAATGATCAGAAGTTGTCCCAGCTGGTAATAAACTGTGCTATCCTCTTTCCAGCAAATAAAGAAACCAACTCTCTCACCATATGGTGTTAAGGTTCCTCTCTGGGAGGAAGTTATTAGTGCTGAAGAAGGCTGAATGGAACCCAAAGCAGAATCATCAGTGTGTTACATTCTCAGGCTTTTCAGTCAGCATGAACTCTCTGATAATCTGGAAGCTGTGCCCCCCAAGCAAAGGCTTTCCCAAAACCAGTGCAGACAAAGACACTGTGTGCAGTGTGAAGTCTCTGATGTTCCATCAGGTGTGAATTCCAGCTGAAATCTTGTCCACATTCTTTACACACATAGTGTTTGCCACTCATGTGAAATTTCTGGTGTTGTATAAGATGTGGAATCTGGGTGGAGGTCTTCCCACAGTTGCTACATTTGTAGGGCTTCTCTCTGGTATGAATTCTCTGATGCTGAACGAGGTGGATGATTTGGTTGAAGGCTTTCCCACACTCCTTACAGGTGTAGGGTTTCTCACCAGTGTGAATTCTCTGATGTTGCGTGAGGGAGGAGCTGTGACTGAACATTTTCCCACATTCCTTACACTTATAGGGTTTCTCACCATGTGGATTTTCTGATGCTCGCTAAGGTGGGTGCTCCGGCTGAAGGCTTTTCCACACTCCCTGCAGTCATAAGGTTTCTCTCCTGTGTGAATCCTCTGGTGTTGGGTAAGGTGGGAAATCTGAGTGTAGGCCTTTCCACAGACTTTACACTCATAGGGCTTCTCCCCGGTGTGAATCCTTTGGTGGCGTGTAAGTGAAGAGTTCTGGCTGAAGGTCTTCCCACATTCACTGCATTTGTAGGGCTTCTCACCAGTATGAATGGTCTGGTGTTGTGTGAATGATGAGGTGTGACTGAAAGCCTTCCCACACTCATTGCACACATAGGGCTTCTCCCCCATGTGAATGCTCTGGTGCCTCATGAGGTGGGAGATCTGCGTATATGTCTTCCCACACTGGTTACACTGGTAGGGCTTCTCGCCGGTGTGAATCCTCTGATGCTGAGTCAGGGACGAGCTATGGCTGAAGGACTTGCCACAAACAGGACACTCATAGGGCTTTTCTCTCGTGTGAACTCGCTGATGCTGAGTCAGTGACGAGCTGTGGCTGAAGGTCTTCCCACATTCATTACATTTGTAGGGCTTCTCTCCGGTGTGGATCGTCTGGTGCTGAGTCAGGGAGGACGTGTGACAGAAAGCCTTGCCACACTCACCACATTTGTAGGGCTTCTCCCCTGTGTGAATTTTCTGGTGGCGGGTAAGGTGGGACACCTGCGAGTAGAACTTCCCACACTGTTTGCATTTATAGGGCTTCTCCCCAGTATGGCATCGTTGGTGTTTAATGAGTGAGGAGCTCTGGGTGAAGGCCTTCCCACACTCCTTGCACTTGTATGGTTTCTCCCCGGTGTGGATCCTCTGGTGCTCAGTAAGTGATGAGCTCTGAGTAAAGGTCTTGCCACATTCGTTGCATGTGTAGGGCTTCTCGCCCGTGTGAATGATGTGGTGCTGAATGAAGTAGGAGCTATTGCTGAACGCCTTCCCGCAATCATTACACTTGTAGGGTTTCTCTCCAGTGTGCATTCTCTGGTGCAGAATATAGTCTGAATGGTAAGCGAAGGCTTTTCCACATTCTGTGCAGTTAAATGGCTTCTTTTCTGCACAGGTTCTTTGGCGTCTCAGACTCTCTGGTGGCCCAGTCCACTTCCGAGGACTCTCTCCCCCAGGCACCCTTTGCTTCCCGATGAAGGCTGATGTCTGCCTGAGGCTTCTGCCAAGCTCATTACAGCCGGGGCCTCTCTCCCCACACATAATTTCCCAGGGAGCGGCAAACAAACACCTCAAATGCCTCTTCTGCTTTCCCAGGTCCTCCAACTGATTGCCACATGTCCAGGATTCCCCCAGTTTGACATTTCCAAGCACTGCCCTTAAAATTCCCCCCATTGTTCCCATTGGGGAAGCTGTCTCTTCAGAAATGCTCTTTTTGGGAAGTGTCTCCAGAGTAGTTGTAGAGCTTGTCTGCAAGTCTGAAAGAAACTGAAAATATGAATATTGTCTGTTCCAAAACAAAAGAAGCCGATTATTTAGAACTGGCATTATAAACTGTAATGGCTGCACAATCAAGCAAATAGGCTAAAAAACACTGAATTGTACATGGTGAGTTGTATGGTAAATAAATTACATCTCAATCAACCATCAAATAAATAAGATTATAAGGTGATTTCACTTTCTAAATTACACATTTGAAATATTTCAGTCATTTTAAATATTGAAAAGTAATTTTCTACTAGGCGGTAACAGTGAAAAGTAAACTTTCCTCCTCTTGTTCTTACACTGTTTCCGATTGTGAATCCTTCTAGAGATTTCTACATTTTTATGTGTGTGTGTGAACATTAATGTGCATAGGTGTGGTGGGGTAGAGGGTTTTTAACTTAGTATTTACATTTTGATTGTGGTAAAATACACATAACTTAAAATTTAGAATTTAAGCAATTTTAAGTGTACAGTTCAGTGACATTGAGTCCATTCATATTTTTGTGCAACTGTCACCACCATCCATCTCCAGAACTTTCTCACCTTCCTAAACTGAAACTGTACGCATTATACACGAACTCCCCATTTCCTCTTCCCTCAGCCCCTCACCACAATTCTATTTTGTCTCTGTGAATTTGTCTACTCTAGGTACCTCATAAGAAGGGGAATCATGCAATATGTGTCCCTTTGCATCAGGCTTATTTCACTTCGCATAATGTCTTCAAGGTTCACCCATGTTGATATTATTTTCTTTTGTAATTTAAAAATACAGTAGAGATCGTGGGTGAAAATATTTGAAGGAACTACATTAAAATGTTAAAAGTGAACTTTTTTGAGGAGGGATTTGTATTTCTTGCTTTATTTTTTTTATTTAGATTTTCAAAGTTTCTAGGTTCATTTGATCAAAACATATCAGTACATATTAAATGTATACGAGGCTTTAATAGCAGAGTCTTGCCATTTGGAGGGAGGGAGGTGTAGAGAAGAGATGACAAGCCAAAAGAGAAATCACTTGGAATTTGTTGAAGGGGATCGATTTTTTTGATGCTAGCCTAGATTTGTTCATGGGATACCCATTGATTGTATAGTTGCTATGTGCCAACTACAGCTGGGGGTAGGTGACTCTGTGTTGATCGAAACATCTGACCCTTGCCCTCAGAGGTGGGAGGGGCTGGCTGGTACTCAGACATTTGGGACATATCCTTCTTGACTCATTAACATCCCCACCTTTGAGGGAGCACTGCTCCCCTCTCCAGGTAGTCTCGGTAGGGATGTTAATCTTAGTCTTTCCATCCTCTACCTCATGAGTGGGCATGACAACCAGGCTGGCCAATTAGAATACCCCATCCCCATGAGGCCATAATAATTGGTTCAAGATCCAAACATAGCTGTGATGTAACTTATAGGAAATACATATTTGGTCATTCATATGACCAAATATATACTTCCCAGGCATATTTGGTCTCCATCCACAGTTCCTGAAAATACTGCAGAGTCTTAAAGGTGAAATAGGTGTTTTGTCATGTTACTGAGAAACTTCTGGACCCTTATCCAAGGGCAGGGGCTGGAGGCTGAATCAGTGAAGGGCCAATAATTTAGTCAATCATGACTATGCAATGAAGCCCTCACAAAACCCATGAGAAAAGCTCTCTCTCTCTCTCTCTCTCTTTCTCTCTCTTTTCTGCCTGCCTGCTTTGCTCGGTTGGATCCTGCTTGGTGGTTGGAGAGAGTTTCTATGCTTGGGGAACCAGGAAGCCTCCATGTGCCACCGAGCCAGGCCCCAAGCTCCACGAGGAGAGAAGCTCCTTTATTTGGGGCCTCACTCCTTTATTTGGTGTCTCTTCATCCGGCTGTCAACCTGTATCTTTTATGGTGCCCTTTATTAAACTGGTAAATGTAAGTGTTTTCCTGAGTTCTGGGAGCCACTCTAGCAGATTAATTGAACCTAAGTGGGAGGTCATGGGAACCTCCAGTCTGTAGCCAGGAGGTCAGAGGCACAGGTAACTGCCTGGGGCTTGTGACCAGCATCTGGAGTTGGGGGTGGAGGGCAGTCCTGTAGGATGGGGCCTTTAACCTGGGGAATCTGGTGCTGTACCCGGGCAGAAAGCATAAGAATTGAGTTGAGTTCTTGGATACCCTGCTGCTGTTTGAGAATTGGTTGGTGTAAGTATGTGTGGGAAGACCCCCTCCCATACATTTACAAACTGGAATGGGGTCTGGCTACCTGACTGAAGTCACACTACTATTACTGCTGTGTAGAATATTGTTACTGTTATACATACATGTAGGGAAAAAATACACCATTTCATCTGATGTCAGATGAGTGGGAACCTCAAGAGCTAATCAGAGTCTTCCTTGAGATTGATACATAGTGTTGCTAGGTGGGATATAAGTTTGAGACTACGGGCAGCCATACTGACTGCTACTTGGAAAGGCCTGAAGCTAGAAATATAGTGTCAACATGTGGGCGCGGGAGGGAAGGAGAGAGTGAGTGAGCCTTGACAGCACCATTTATAGCCTTAGATCAATGTATGCCTAAATTCTTGGATTGCAGCACTTTCCACTTACATGGGTCAAAAAAAATCTAATTTTGCTTCTTTAATGCTAAAATCTAAATTTTGATTCTTTACGTGCAAGAGTCCTTACTAATATATCAGGTAATCACAGTAATTTTTCTAAAATAATAATGATTATTATTGCAATAGGTAACATTTATTCAATGCTTACTGTGAGCCAGGCATTGTTCTAAGCAAGTTCTATTAATTAGTTCATTCTTCAAAAGTAAATTCAGTGCTGTGGGTGCTATTAGTGTCCCCATTTTACAGGGAAGGAAATGGAGGCACCAAGAGGTTAAGTCACTCACCCACAGTCACACAGTCTGTCAGTGGAAGAGCTGGGATCTGAACTCAGAGAGTCTGGCTGCAGAGCCCACATTCTTAGCCACAATATGAGCAAATGCAGTAATAGCAGCTCAAGCAAGGAGCTGTGAAAACGCCAAGGGATAGATTGCTCATCCTGGAAGTCAGGGAAGCAGTCTTGGAGGGGTGACGTGTTACCTTCGGCTTGAGGAACACGAAGGTGTCTGCCGGGCAGACAAAGCAGGGAAGGGTGCTCCAGGCAGAGGGAACAGCATGTGCAAAGCTCAAAGGTGGAATACACATTCAAGTTCAGGTCGGGACAGGTACTTCAGTGAGGTCAGGGTGTGGGGTACAACCACGGAAGATGTGATGAGAGGTGAGGCCACAGTACAGGCTGGACCATGAGAGGCAGGCTTAGGAGGTAGGGCTTTGCCTCATGGGTACTTGGGAGCCACAGAGGACTGAGAGCAGGAGAGGGATGGGATAAGCTCTCAGTGTAGGAAGACCCTCTGGGTTATGTGACACGAACCAAATAGAGCACATTAAACTGGAGGCTGAGACACCAGGGAGGACCCTGGGATGAGGGTCCAGGTGAGGGAGGCTGAGGGGGAGAAGAGGGGACCAGGCACAATTAGGCCTAGGGACTGATGGGCTGTGGGGAGTGAAGGGGATGGGAGGGAAAATCACCCACCAGGACAGGTAACTTGCTGGGCTTCTCTCTCCTCCATCCTGGGTTCTTCACCTCTTTCCAGGCGGGAGATCACATCGGGCTTGAATCCAGGAAGCCCTGCCCCTGGAAAAACACAAGAGCTGGTTGTGGGGTACCATGGTCATAAGGAGGCCTCAGAGCTGGGCCCCAGGCCTGCAGAGGAAATGCACACATTAGGCGCCTGATGATTAGAAGCTCTAATGGTCATTGCAAGTCTCATTTGTTGAGTGTCTATTACATTCAAGACAGACTGTGGCATGTCATCACTGTTCAAGGCTCTGTGCTATGCGAGTCAAGTGTGAAATACGCACACCATGTTTCAAAGACTTAATGTGGAGAAAAATGTAAAATGAAACATACCTCATTAATAATTTGTATGTTGATTATGATTTTGACATGTGCCAAAATCGGCACATTTTGGATTGGCTGAAATAAAGTATATTACTAGAATTAATTTCGTCTGTCCCTTTCTGCTTTTTTATGCCTGCTGTCTTTGAGATTATGAATTGCTCTCTCCCTATAGTGGGTTGGATAGCATTCCCCCAAATTATGTCTATAGGACCCTCAGAATGTGACCTTATTTGGAAATAGGGGCTTTGCAGATGTGATCAGTTAAGATGAGATCCTACTGGATTGGGGTGGGCCCTAAATCCAGTGTCTGGCATCCCTGCGAGGGGAGGAGAGACCCACCGACACATACTGGGGGAGAAAGACAGGCAGAGACTGGGATGAGGCAGGTCAAGACAAGGAACACCAAGGACTGTCAGGAGTCCCCAGAAGCTGGAAGAGGCACAGACAGGCTCTCCCCTGGAGCCTTCAGGAGCATGGCCCCGCCTGTGCCTTGATTTGCCCTCTGGTCTCCAGAAGTCTGAGAGAATAAATGTCTGCCATCTTGAGCCACCGAGTTTGCGGTCGTTTGTTACAGCGGCTCTAAGGAACGAATACGTCTCCCTACTGATCCTTCCCATGAGCCATAAACACGTTGACATAGCTCCCACCTTGGGATGAACCGACCGCCTGGAGAAGGGTAAGGAAGGGGAGAAGAGGAGGGGTGTGAAAGGAGCCGGTCATGTACGGGGATGACGAGCTGGTAAAGGGAGCACCCGGGACTGGCCTGGTGGCGGGTGGGCGGGGACTGTCCCTGAGACGGGGGTGGGGGTGCACAGCGGAGGAGTGGGTCAGGGGGACACGGTGAGCTCATGCGGACAGGGAGCATGGGGCCGGGACCTCCCCAGGGAGGTATTCTGGAGGCCACTGGTGGTACAGAGCTGGAGCCCAGGGGACAGGCTGAAGGGGCCTCATGCTATACGTGCAAGTTGTGCAGAAAAGCGTTAACAGCGCGGGCTGACTGCCTTGGGTAGGCCTCCTGCCCTCGCCGGCCTCTGGGAGCCTGGATTTCAGGAGGGCTCTAGCGTCCCTTAACTGAAAAATGGGATTCCCTTGCCGAAACTATTTGGACAAAACACCTATTGAACATCTGCTTTCAGGAGGAGCGGCTCAGGGCACACACAGCCAGGGTCAGTGTGCAGAATGCAAGGGGCCTTGGGGGAGCCAAGAGGCAGGTGACACATTTGGGAAAGAGCATTTATGTGCTTTGGGGAGAAGAATCCAAGACCAAGCCTGCTGACTGGAGGACATCTGGGGTCCCTCGGAGCCTGAGGTTCTGGAACGGGCGTTCCAGCATGGAGCCTGGGGGCAGCACACACGGAAGGGAGGCATGAGAAGCGGGTGGGGCACAGGCTGAAGATTCTGTGGGGCAGGGGCAGGCAGAGGACTCAGGCCCCGGGGCATGCTGGGACTCTAGGAGACGCTGGCGGAGAGACAGGGGCCACCCAGGAGGGATCAGTGGAAGAAACAGAGAAGCAACATGAGCCCAGTGAAGCAGTGGGTGGGCACAAAGGAGATGGGGCTGAAGGGGGGCATCATGCCTCCTCCTGAGAAGGTGGGGGTGGAGCCTCACCCACTGAGAGAAGGTTCTGGTAGTTCTCCAGCATCACATCCCGATACAACTCCCTCTGGCCAAGCCCCAGCTGGCCCCACTCCTCCAGGGTGAAGTCCACGGCCACGTCCTTGAAGGTCACTGCTTCCTGCAAGGGTCAGCTGTACACAGTGGAGGGGCACGTCCTTCTAGACTCTGGGGCCAAGAGGTCGTGACTCAAGAGCCTGTCACTGCTGGTGGTTGACCCGGCTGAGACATTCTGGGCTGGGACATTCTGACTTGGCATATTGGGCCGACTGAATCAAACCAGCCCACGAGAATGTAGTAAATCTAGGGTAGCCACTAGCCCACACACACCTTGGCAGAAAGTGGATGGAGCTCCCCCACCCTCCACCCTCCCCTTGCACATGACTCTTTACTGCCACCTGTTGGAAAATCTTTACAATATACCAATTATTTTAGTACGTGACCATTTACCGCCACCCGTGTGAAATTTGCCATAATATACAACTGTATGAAGTGCAAGATGTGAATTTTGCCACTGAGGTAAGACACCCTTGTGCAGGGTGTAACTTGCACACCTGTACGTGACACCTTTCTGCACAAAGCCACTTTGTGCAAGAGCTATTCCTAAGTCCCATGCCATCCCAGACTCCCACTCACCTCCCAACCCTCATTCCTGAATCCAAGGATAAGGCCCAGGGATGAAGCAAAACCATCCACTTCCCACTTCACCTGGTACCCCAAATGCTTCCAAGCATTGGATAACTGATTTTTACACTGCCATGACGTCTGAACTCAGCACATCCTGACCCATTCCCTCTACTCCCTGCACCTCCCAATCCCAGATCCCCTCCCCCCATGGCCTCTCTCCCAGTACTGGGAAGAGCAGAAGAACCTCTGGCTACAGGCAGAGATGGTGATGGCCCCCTCGGGTCTACAAAGTCATGTTGGGGAAGAGGGAGCCTAGACTCACCTGGTCCTTGGCCATCAGGATCCTGGTGGCCATTGCTGGATCCTGGTCATGCACCTCTGGGAGAAAGGACCAGGCTTGAGTCTGCAGAGCTGCAGGAGGGACTAGAGCAGAGTGGAGGTTAGTTCTGACCCAGACAGACAGACACTTTCCCCAAGATGATGCATGACAGAGGGGGCTCCAGTTTTCCAACAGCTCGAGCAAAGGCCCAGGACAGGCTGCCTGAGGCCCCCAGTCTGTATCAACCATCACTAGCAATCACAGGGTTCATCTCACTGCACCCACACAACAGCTCTCCAGATGAGGAAACTGAGGCACAAGAGGGCAAGGCCAGAGGGATAGCAAGTGTCAGAGCAGGATTTAAACCCAGAGGTCTGGCCACACAGAGCCAACTCCTCCTTTTTTTTTTTCTTGCAATTTTTTTCTTATTGCAGTAAAATACACCTAATATAAAATATACCACTTTGATGTATAAAATTCAGTGGCATTTAGAACATTCACAGGGTCATGCAACCACCAATGTCTAGTTCCAGAATATTTTCATCACCACCCTAAGAAGAAATACTATACCATGTATTAGTCACCCCCAAATCTCCCTCCCCACCCCCACACCAGCCCCTGATAATCACTGATCTTTCTGTCTCAATGGATTTACCTGTTCTGAACATTTCGTATACACCCTACAATATGGGCTTTTGTGTCTGGCCTCTTTCACTCAGCACCATGTGTTCACAGCTCATCCATGTTACAGCACAGATCAGGGCTTCATTCCTTTTTCGTGGCTGAATACTATTCCCCTGTGGATGGACCACACTTTGCAGAGCTCTTTCTGTTGTACAAATCCTGCTCAAGGATCCACTCCTAAGCTTAAGAGGTTGTTTGAAGAAAGATTGACACCTGCTGAAATACAGTTTAAGAATTCCTGCCAAGGAAAAGTTGGTGTTCAGACCATGGTCACTCCCATTCATTCATCAAATATGCTCTGAGCCCCATGGGAGTGGCAGGCTCCATTCGGGGTTCTGGGGACAGAGATGAGTGAGGTGCAGCTCCACATTCAAGGGGCTCCCCACCAGGTGGGGGAGACAGACCAAGACATAGGCCACGTGGTGGGCTCAATAAGGTTTCAAAAGATATCCCTGGCGTGAACCTGTGATGTGATTAAATTAAGCCACTTTAGATGGGAAGATGATCCTAGATTATCTGGGTGAGCCCTAAATGCAATCACAAGTGCCTGTATAAGAGGGAGGGAGAGAGCTACCTGACAGAGGAAAGGGCCAGGTCACAGAAGAGGTGCAGAGTCAGAGAGAGAAGACACTAGGCTCTGGCTTTGAAGCTGGAGGAAGGGGCCACACCTCAGCAAGTGCCTCCAGAAGCTGGAAGAGCAAAAGAACAATTCTCCCCTAGTGCCTCCAAGTGGAGCACAGCTTTGCTGACACCTTGATTTCAGCCCAGTGAAACCCATTTAGTGTCTAACCTCCAGAACTGTCAGAGAGTATATTTGTGTTGTTTGAAGCCACCAAGGTCATGGTAATTTGTGATAGCCACAATGGGAAATGAACAGAGCCCAGAAATATAACCACTCAGAGCCTCACGTGTGTTCCCGGCTAACAGCTGCATGTACACTCAGGTACGTAGGAACATGCGCTGAAACTGAAGGTGCTGAAACCAGTGGGTGAAATTTAGACAAGAAAATGAGGAAATAGAGTCTTAAATAGTTGTAACTATTCCCTCCCTCCCCCACCCTGAACAAGTCCCTTATCAATTACAAAAAGAAGAGGGCAACTTTAGAGTGGAGAGACCTGGCGGACACCACTTTAGCCAAGTGGTCAAGGTTGATGTGACCGGTGATGAGCGAACCAAGAGCGAGGGCTTCTGACCTGATAAGGCTACAGCGTCCCTTCTGAGGTATCCCTCCCCAGAGCGCATAACCTACATTTAATCATGAGGAAGCTGTGACACACACAAACTGAGGGACGTCCTGCAGGTCCATGGCCTAATCTTCAGAATTGCCAAGGTCATGAAGGTCAAAGAAAGACTGAAGGCCCATCCCAGGTTAAGGGACACTGACGAGACCTGACAACGAATGCAGAGCGTGATGTGGGCTTCTCTTTTGCTACTAAGGACATGACTGGGGGCAATCGGCAAAATCTGAAGATCTGTAGATTAGTAATAGTATTGTATCCATGTTAATTTCCTGATGTGATCATGGTGCTGTGGTTTTGGAAGAAAATCACCTTGTTTTTAGAAAAAGCAGAGATCCGTGGGGGAAAAGGGAGCGCACAGACCCAGAGAGCGCGGGCAGAGACCTCGAGAGACAGAATGGGGTGGTGGAGGGGTGAGATCAGAGAGGGAGGATGGGTACGGGCGCTACAGAAGCCAGAGACCGAAGGCATGGCTGCGCAGAGTGCGCTGGGCGTGCGGTCAGTAACCCCTGGGTGTTGATACCAAATCGACTGCTTATTAGCATTGTGAACTGGGAGAAGCCTCGTGAGTGAGGAAAGGTATGTTCTCCGTTCAAGGAGATCGCAGCAGTCAAGGGCTCGACCGGACTCCTGGCAAACAGAAGGCGCCCAAATCCTGCGTGGGGAGCTCTTGCTAGTAGAACGGATGGCGGGCGGGTGGGTCCCGGGCCGCCTCGCGAATGACAGGAGGGGGCGGGGTCGCGGGGTCCCGCCCACAGTGCACACCCAGGCACGACGGGGGCCCGCCCCCTGAGGGCCCGCCTGCCTGCCGGGCCGGGCCGGGCCGGGCCCACACCTCCAGCTCCCGCTCGGGTCCGCCAGGTTAGGACTCACCTGTGCGTCCCCGCAGGTGGCTCAGTGCGGTCAGGCCTTCCCTCAATCCCGCGGACCGCAGAATGCGCCTGCGCAGTCGCTGGCTCGGGTCTGTACATCCTGTTATTTCAAACGCACCTTCTCAGCTGGACTACATTTCCCATAAACCATTGCAGGTTCATGCTCCGTCCGGCCTAAGGCTTCTGGAGGCTGAGGAATGCTGGGAAATGAAGTCTGGGCGTAGGCCGTGGCTTGGGGAGAAAGAATGCTCTAAAAATATAGCTGCAAGAAACGTGGTGTTTGGAAAATGTCTAGCTGTACTGGAACCGCAAATATTCCCATTTTAGCCAGTCTTTTCGTCCTCCGTAGGAGGAGACGTCATAGTCCATTTAACCCATCTAACCCACATGTCTCCTGCTATAAATGAAGGCTTCCGGGCACATACAAGTTGGCCCCATCCAGACTAATGTGAATCAAGCCTCTGTCACTTAATGACTCAGTTTCCCTGGGCATCGGATTCCTGTTTTTCCTATCACCTCTTAAAGGGCGATGTGGTAAAGGAAATGGACTCCTTTACGGGAACTGGGAGATGTATGTCCAGGAATTCAGGGAACGTTCGGTATTGGACTATTATGTACTTTGCCTATTGATATCAAAATAGTACAGTCATACCCACGGATATGGAACGGTTTCGAGGACATTCAGCAATCATCTATTTCTATACAGACTTAATCAAGAATAGGCTCATATTGAACAGTATGACAACAATCTTAAGGAGTTACTGGCCTCTCCTTGTTTTTAATAATATACATATAATAAAAAATCCAAAATGGCAAAACACCGAAATAATCTTCATTGAAGTCAGACACAAAACAAAATATCCACCATTACCACTTTTGGAAGAACTAGCAATATATAGTTAGACAAGAGAAAGAAAATACATCATTGGAACAGAGAAGGATGGATTTTCATCCTTTTTTGAATATACGGTTGATATCTTGGAGATCAGAGAATCAACTGAAACACTAAGATAAATAACAAGATAATTCTGTAAAATTGCTGGGTACAAAATTAATAAGAACAAATGGATTTTTTCTTTTCAAACAAGAATTATGAGGAATCTAATTTTTTTAAAAGGGCTATTTGGATTTTAATGCCATATTTATCTGGTAGATTTTAGTCTCTCCATGATGTCCAGCAGTGCCCCTCCACTTTCTTCACCTAGCCTTTCTTCCTATATTCCCTCATTAAATAATGCGTGACAGTCCAATTCTTCTCTAAATCCTTTCCTCCACGTCCGGTACAGGGCTGGACTACATTCCCAGCCTCCCTTGCAGTCAGTGACGGCCCTGTGACTAAGTTCTCTCCAATAAAACGTGAGCAGAAGTGACATATTGCCACGCCCAGATCTGTCAATTAGGATAACCACATGATGTCATGGGGAAACGCTTTCGAATGAACATTAAAAGACCAAAGATTGCAGTTATGTGTCTTTCATGTTTATAAAGATGTATGAACAGGAGTAAAACCTGGATGAGCCATTGGCAAAATGAAATAACAGCTATCACTTATTGACACAGGCAGTGGTCTGTATTAGCTTCTTTAACTCACACAAGCACCCTGTGAAGGTGTCAGGCAGCCCTGGGGAGCCCTTTGCAGCCCCATGGAAAGAAGACCCAGCCAGTGCTCGTAGGTCCAGGGAAGCTCCTCTTCTCATTGCTAGGGCCCCCTGCTGATGCCCTCTCCGTGTTCATAATGAGTCCAGCTTGGATTACATCTGTCTTCATACCAGCACATCCACCAAAAATAATTTTTAGTGTTTTTTTTTTTTTAATAGAAGAAGAGACCCAAAGAGGCCAACGCTCTGAGGACTCAGGAAAGACATAATGTGGCCCAGGGGGTGGTGGTGGTGAGAGGGTGGGGACATGGGAGAGATGGACAGAGAGACAGACAGATTGACAGAGGAGGACAGAGAGACAAAAAAGGGACAGAAGGAGGCAGAGACAGAGATATTCTCAAAATGCCACAGCGACCTACCCAGGGCAGTGCCATTTTTGAGGACCCAGTGGGGCATTTGGGGACCCCAGGAGAGGGCAGGGGTGACTCACGAAGCCACGATGACCCCAAAGAGAAAGACAGCCAGGCACACGGAAATGCTGGCACCAAACAGGACCGGATTCCGCGGGTATCCGCTCTCCTCATCGGACCGCAGGGCCAGGCGAGGCTGCCGGTCGACTGGGGCGGGCGCGGGGGACAGCCCCGACCCCCAAGCCACCACCCTGCCTTGGCCTCGCGCCCACCCTCGCCGCCTGCTCACTCGGCGGCCTGGACCCCTCCCACCTCCCGATGTGGGTGGGCCCTGCCTCTCCTGCGCTTGACCCTCCATTCATCCGTTCCTCAAGTTTGGTGTCCCTGGCACCATTCCAGGCGCTCGGGAGGCTGCCGTGAGCCCCAGGCTAACCGCCCTGCCCTCCAACCTTCCTCACTGCACATCACAGGGGCAGCGGCGAGCCCAGAGCTCAGTGCCTGTCACTGGACGGGGGGTGGGGGCGGCGGGATCTGGGTAGTTTGCCCAAGAACAGGGCAGTGGGGTGCAAAATGCTGACCACCCTCAGGGCAAGAGGAAATTCGGCCTGTCTCTTAGCTGAAGGCAGCCCTGGGAGTCCCGTTCTGCACCTCCCTCCCCTGCTAACTCTTCCACTCGGTCGGCGAAGCCTCTAGGCTCCACCTTCCAAACGTACACCGAGTCCTACCCACCTCCTCGGCCACCGACCCGATCCACCCCAGCAGCCCTCCCGTCGCGCTCCGGGACCTTCTTCCCACCCTGCTCTTCCCCGACGAGGCCGCCGCTACCAGCCCGCTCAGCGCCCTCCCGTGGCTCTCCTCTCCTCCAGAAGAAAAGCCCAGGTGCTCACCGGGGTGCACCAGGTCCTCACCACCTCGGCACCACGTGACCAGCTACCCTACTACCCACCCTCCTGTTCATTCACTCGGCCCTGGCCACCCTAGCTTCCCACGTTGGGTCTGTGCACCTGCTGCTCCCCCTGTTGTTCCCACTGTTTGTCACCCCCTCACTTCCTTTAGATCTCAGACATCACTTCTTCAGACAGGATTGGTTGGCCATATTCTTGCTGGTTAGACTGTTAGTGTTTCTGTGAACAACTTTTTACATACGTGTTTTCTTTTGGATTAGTTCTTTGAACATATTCCTACCAGTGGGTTTGTCCATCAGAGAACGTACACAGTTTGAGAGTGCCTAGAACCCTGCCTCCTGGGAAGGTCAGGCGGCTTTCTGGGCCAGTGACTCCATTGCCTCTTTGTCAGGGTCTTTGCTAATTTTTTGAAACAACATATTGTTTTCTAGTTTAATTAAATTGCTTTAATGAGCATTTTAAAAGTAACTCAGCAAGGCTGGGGACTTGCCCCGGAAGGAGTCCTGTTTTTCCTCATTTAAACTGTTGGAATCATTTGACACTGGGGACAGTGATTTCCCATAGGAAGAGAATGTAGATCACAGGTTAAGTGACAGAAGGCAGTGGCCAGAGGCAGATTGGGACGAGAGGCCGGGCCTGGAGGCCCCATCCGGGCTCCGTGCTGCTGGGTCTCTCCGCTGGGTCTCAGGCTCAGAGGCGGAGCACTCTGGCTCCTAAAGCTGAGCCCCCTCCGCTCCCCACAACCTGGCCTGTTGGATTCTTGGCCCCCACCTCTGCAGAGTCCCAGATAAAGGGTGATTTCCTAACTTGCCCTTTCATGAGGCAGTGTGCTCCGCCTGGAAGACCAATCTGAGGGGTAGAAAAATCTCCCATGATTCACGCACACCGGGGACAGTTGCTGAGTGTCTGTGAGCCCAGCAGGGAGCCTGCAGAGTCCTGGCACCCAGGGCCTCAGGTTCTGGAGATTTGAGGTCAGGTTCCCTTGCTTCCTGGTCCCCAAGCTGTCTCTGTCCCAGATGGGAGCGTCTGCAGGGACCCATTCCCCTGCGAGACAGAAGCAATCTGCTCCATCCTTCCCAAGCTGGCCCTCGGGATGTTTGAAGACGTCCGCTCTGCCACCTGCACACCCCCAGTCTGGTCCTCAGGTGACATGACTTGTTAAAATACCTTTTATCACTTTACCAAGGGACACAGAAAGCATGGAGACATATTCCAGTACCGAAGAAGAAGAAAATAAAATTGGCTCATAA